TTTGACAATAGTCAAATTTCGTTTCAAGTGTTTATTCAAACACTGTTTTCCACGTTATTTCAGCTGAAAAACTCGATCAGTATGGCACGCCAAAAAATCGAGTTACCGCGTAGTACTCACAGAGCGAAGCTGCACAAACTGTTCTGACCGGGTAAGAACGGAAACTGGCTTGTCGTTCCGGGTTATTGAACGTTGGAACTCGCTTCCGGAACACGTCGTTAGGGAGTCTACGGTTGATGGTTTCGAGCGTCAGTTAGATGCTGTTGGGTGGCAGTACCAAACTTTCCCCTTCTCTTAACCGACTTGTATCCTCAACTTTCTTTTCGTTTTTTCTATTTTCTCATACCTTGGCATTATTATTTAGCTGACATTTTCCTCTTGCTTTTAAGCTTACCCTTCGCTCTCCTACTTCATATAAACCGGCCTGGTAGAGACTGCTGCGTAGGAGAATGTGGGCAGTAATTGGTTGGACAGGGTGTGATGCGGTCTTTGTTTTAGGCTTTTCAATATCTCAAGCAGACCCATCAATTCCCGGTTCAACGATACTCAGAAGAAGGAACATTCACGGGATTTTTCTATCATTCCGGTCCTAACCGAATTTGAACTTGACCACAAGGCAAAACCCGTGTCATCTCCATCACCCGTTCATTTTCTGGATAACACCCTGTCCGCACAGGTGGACGACCAGCCGTCCCATTTGGGTCTGTTCTTGATCACTCACAGATGCAACAACTAATATGAAATGACTTGCTCTATCCAGATCTGCCGTTAAATAAGATTGTACGTCTTTAGCACCTCCGTCTTTTGCCTAAAAGGCGTTTTTTTTTAAGCAAATCGTAATTTCACTCAGCGCGAGTGACCATTGGAGCTTCCTGAGTGACCAATTTTCGTGCCTCCGGCCGACACTTTTTGGTCAATTTTGGTCACTCGAAAACATTTTCGGTTTAGCTTAACGACTAAACTATTGCGTTATTACCTTTTGGGGATCGATTTCACCTTATTGCTGACGGTATTCACAACTAGGAAAAATGCATTCAAGTTATATGTTAATGGTGGGTTGGAGAAAAACATTCTGAGTGACCAAAAGTCGTCCAAAAAGTCTCCAATTAGGATGGTCGGGGGCACAAAAATCGGTCACTCATGGACGTCCAAAGGTCATTCCAACGGATACTTCGTCGTCACTCGTGCGGACAAGGCACGTGTCGTTACTAAACTGTGTTCCCCGAGGGATTGTTACAGCTGCAGCAAAAACAGCGGAATCCAGGCGTGCTCAGCATGTATTTGTCCAACCGTTTTTCGAAACATTCCTGTCTGGACACTTACCACGCATTCAGGTTTGTTCCACTCATTCACAACACGTGTGGATAAGGCGAAATGGGACCGGAAATGGTGCCTCCGAGATTTAAAAAGTTTCCAACTGTGGCCTCGTGTCAAAAAATCTGCGTTGAGCTGGAAGAACTGCTGCACCTTCCCCAGATCGCCCCTCAAAATGCGTCTAGAATAACTCGGATTCCCAACGGCGACGACGGTAGTCTAGAGAAACTAAGTTCATGCGCTGGAGACGAAGGGTTAAGCTAAAACACGTAGCACGGACACAGACTTGGATCCGTACCTCTGAACCTTCTCGATCAACTCATTCAAATTTCGTGACTTTATGGCAGGTAGCCAGTATTGCGCGAACGTGGGAGGAAAACGGGAGTTTGAAGGTCTCCGGTGTCAGTTTGTAGAAAGACCTTCGTATAGCACAGAGCATCCTGTTGGCAAAGGCCACCTTCCGCAACGTGTCTTAGGTTGTTCTTAAATCTGAAGAAACAATTACACCCAAATCCTTCTCACGAGCCAAATTTTTCAGCGGAAAATCGCCAATGTGATAAGCACCAAAATGTACTTGAGCACAGATCTGGAGAACATAGTACCTATCACGATGGATAGGCATTTGCCACTTGACAGACCAATCATGCATCAGATCGAGCGTCAGTTGCAACTTGTTAGTATCTTCAAGCTTGGATACATCCGACCGCAGCTTAAGATCATCTGCGTAGATCAAACAGTCGACTTGAAGCACTTCCGGGAGACCGTTGATGAAGATTTTGTAGAGTTCGGGATCTAGAACGAGGATTTGTGGAACCCTAATGGTCATAAGAGCACGACCAGACACGACTTTGTTAATCTTCACCATCATACTACGGCCATCTAGGAAATCAGCGATCCGGGCGAGAAAATTACCGGCGATACGAATCTGCCGGACCTTTATTATGAGTCGCTTGTGTGGAATCCTATCAAATGCCTTGCTGAAATCGACAAAAACATCAAGGTGGTGACCGGCATCCACTGACTTCGCCCACTTCTCTCGGGCAACAAGCAGCTTGGTAATGCAGGAGCGTGCCCTCCGAAATCCGTGGTGAGCAAGAGAAATGACGTTCCTCAAGGTGAAAATGCAAAGCCTGTTTCAAAATCTTTTCCATGATTTTACATATGATGACAAGCAAATCGGTCGGTAGTTCACGGGATCTTGACGGCTCCCACATTGATTTCACAGCATTTACTTTCCATTTAGTCGGGAGACGACCTGCTTCAAGTGAGCTCCGAAATATTTGAAAAATAGGTGCAGCAATGAACTCCGCCACCTGCCTGAGGACCAAGGGATGTAATCCATCAGGACCCGGGTACAAGTCAAGAAGTAGTTCCATTACTCTATCGGTGATAATTTCGACGTGTTTTAAAGGAGTGACAGGAAATCCTCACCAACCAACGGTGCCTCCGTCGTATACACAGTGGAATATTGCGAAGCTAGGTAACAAGCTTTCACCATGTCATCATGTAGCACGGTGTCCTCTTTGCTTGGATACAGGGCAGGTATACCATTGCCCGCTTTGGTGCTCCTTTTAGGTACGCGGAATGCTTTTTCGAATCAGTCGCGGTTTCCTCAGCCAGATGCTGCTCATGTAGTTCTCGCGTTTTCTCAGGGCACCTAAATTTCTAACCTCTTTGTAATGAGAGTAAACTTGCGTTGCCTGGATGAACTTGAACCGGTTCCAAAGTTTTCGCCTTCACAACATGAGCGATCTGATTTTCTGGTCTACCCACTGGAGCCCTTTGGACCAACCTGATCATCATCTTAATGCACAGAAGGTCCCGAGCAGCATCGAAATCCAAATTGTGATGGATGTTCCAGTCCATGATTCTTTCGGCCAATTTTAAGCGGAGGGGGTCAGTTCGCCAGAAATTCCGTCGATGCACTCCCTGCACATTAATAGCTAACTGCCGTGTCCACAAAAAGGAGACTACACAGTGATCACTTTTGCCGAGAGGATGAATAATAGCTAGAGAGGGGACATCTGATGTGGCAGGCGTGAGCACAAGGTCAAGGATGTGTGGTATTTGGCCTGGAAAAATGGGTAGGTGATGAAACGAGGACTGTTTCTAATAAACGCGTATCAAAAGAATCTGGAGAGGAATTGCAAAGAAGCGCGTCCCAATCTACGGCTGTAGCATTGAAGTCACCCCGGTGTCTCCTCATAGAGTCTAGGAGATGGGATCCTGATCCCAAGGGGGATCTACAGATAACGCCGACTATGTGCGGTGTAAATCCATCGCGAATCCTACATTTAAAAAAATTTCCGATCCTACGTCGAGATCACATATAGTTTCCACTGTGAACTTTAAGGTCTGAATTCCATTAAAGAAACATCCCGCCCCCGGACCTCCTAGACGATCCGCCCTGGATACCCTGGAATAGATACCTCCGAGTCTGAAATATCCTCATGAGTATATCCTAGGATAACCAAGTCTCCGTAAAAGCCATCAAATCGGGTTCTTGCTCCGAGGTCATGAGTAGAATTTCATCCACTTCGTTTCTCAAACTATGCACGTTGGCAGATATCACACTCAATCCACTCCTGATTCTCAGTGCACCGGAAGAACGAAGATTGGTCTCCACCGAGTCCTCGGGATTCTTTTTACTAATCGAAAATCCACATTGTAAAGATCACTTTTAGCATCTGCCCGTCGGACGGGCCTGCTTCATTTTAACTCTATCTTCTGGGGAGTGGCCTCTCAAAACATATAATGTTTCTCCTTTCAGATGTGAGGTCCGCTGGAGGATACGGCGGTGTTCCTCTTCGTCTTGTCAGATCACCTTTAGGGATCGAACTTTCGAAGAGTCATCCTGCTTCCTGCCGAGCTGAAAGGCAGAAACGAAGTTTATGCCCTGTTCCCCAGCATCTAACAGTAAAGAAACCATCCGCTTCAGAAAAGCTTGGTCCTCCAATATCCTCTCAGGCAAGGATTTCTTATCAGATTCAGGGGCGTGTACAATGATCAGACATCGTTCCCTCGCGGGAAATCGATTTCCCTCGTGTTGATTCGGCTTTTGTGGGTAAGGGCTTGCCTTAATCATATTCTCTAACTGATTCACTTTATCGAGATTAAGTTTCAACCGGGACTGAGAAGAGTTCTGACTTGACGTAGATTTTGCAGCCTTCGTCTTCCCATTATGTAGCGGAGTATACTCCGGTATCCGTGATCCCAGATATATCTGGGATCACGGATACCGGAGTTATACTACTTCCCGCCACCACTGCTGACGCAATCTACCAGATTAAGTCACGCGTAACTGCATGCTTTATCTGTCTTAACTCATCGCCATTTTGTCTCCTCCTAATGGCTGCCACGAGCACCAATCAGCATGCCTTATCAAATCAACTCCATGGTGGCCAGGCTAGCTTGTCTGTCCGTCATCGTTCTGGTCCACCTGATGCATCACGGGCGACACTCGATGGGGAGAATGATGCATCGATGCACATGGTTATCTGCTTTCAATCATTGCACTTTCTGCGAATATACTCTTCCATGCGCTTACTGTGTCCTCACTTTTTTGGCCCGGCTGCTGTGCTGTGGTGAATCGATCACATGTCAAACCGCGTGCTAATCTCAACTCACACTTTTCAGATCACTGGACTTATTACGGCCTCCACTCGGACCATTGCGCACCACAGTAGGTGTTGCAGCAGGTCTACTCGTTACGTTGTAGCGATCCTCAAGGTGAGGATATTATCAAACCTCGATTAGACTGCCATTGTTGTTTCCTTTTCTCCTTACCTACCGTTTTGCTTACAAACATCACTTGTGCTAGTTTTCACCATCTACCCAGCTCGCCACGGTGTTAGCCAGTTACACGTTTCATTTACTACTGCGGTCTCTTACTAGATGATTATGGTATGAGCATTTAGCCGTTTACGAGGTGTTAGTTTTGTACTGCAACCTCAAGGTTTATTAGGACCTTTATGCTCATTTGATACGGAAGCCCTCCGGATCCTCGACCGAGCTCATGTTACATGTTTGGCAACCATGCTATTTCCCGACAGTAGCCCACAACGCTGGGTCGTTGCTATTGATGTAATCAGCAGCTTTCATGGTACTTTACTGCTTCTCGTGGCATCTCTCGAACCTAGTACAGTAGCAGGTCTAGACCGACTAGGGTTTCCGTAGGCCCTGAAGACAGCGCTTGTCAACATGCATTAGCAGCACGCCGTTACGCAGTATCGACGCTTCGCTGCCGCACAACCACCACCAGTCACGTGGGCAAAGGATATTGCATAGGTCCCTACGGACACTCGAACCCGCGCCCTCAGCTCACACGGCAGGTTTGTGATCCTTAAGGGTACGGGCCGGCTGTCAACAAAGGAATAATGTAGCAGGTCTGAGCGTTACGTTGTAGCGGTCCATAAGGTAAGGGGATCGTTAAACCTCGATCAGACCGCTGTTGTTGTTCCCACTCCTCTTTACATTCCTGTTTCACTTACAGCCAGCACTCGTGCTAGTTTTTACCATTTACCCAGCTCAGGCTCGACCCCCTCGGCAGCTGTTGCATCCAGTTCGCCACGAGATGTTAGCCAGTTACACGTTTAATTTAGTGCGGTCTCTTACCAGATGGTTGTGATATGAATATCCAGCCGCCTACGGGGTATTTGTTTTATATTGCAACCCCCAGGTCTATTACTACCCACGCACGCATTGAACACGGAAGCCCCCGGAATCCTCTACCGGACGCATGTTACAGGTGTTGTAAGGAAACTGAAATCACAACAGGTTTTCGAACGAACCGCTATTATTGACCTTGTTTGTTTTATTTGCCGACTCGGGCAAGCCGGGCAGTTAGTGAATTCGTGAAGAGCACTCTTCTCATTGGACCAACTATACGGACCTACAGTTTTGTACCTTCCCCGATAAGGGACTCGTTTGGTTCGTCTGTACCTGTGCAAGGTTTGGAAGGTACACCTTGTTGCTTTCCGTCGTATGTTCTCCCTCGTTCCAGCTCCGGTCGATTATCTGTGCTTGTGTGACGGTGTGTGTGGAGTACACTGTATTCGTAATTGCACCCATCCGTGAGCTGTGACATCTTAGCTTCCTTTCAGGGCTCACGAAGCTTCCGTCGTTCCACTGGATTGTACTCACTACATTTTGGCTTCGCGGGCAAAATCTCAAAACCGTGGAAAGCCAGAACTTTAGTCCAACAGAGTTGAACTCTCATGTGCGTGGCAATGCACATGAATGCGTCTGACTTCCAACCAACCCCCAGACAGCCGTCAGTTTTTCACGCGGATGGTGGAATAGGATCTCAGCCGCCATGCACGACGCAGAAGCATCTGCTTGTGGCACTATCCATCATCACCGCATCATCACTGGATATCCGAGAGGTCGGTGAACCTGTTGGAATCTAGAAGACACCTCCCGGATGGCTCTGAACACACTGTGACCAGACGGGCTATTAGGCGTGAACTAAAAAAAATGCGCGCGTCAGCTTATACGCCGTAACGGCGCTTCGCTGCCGCGCGACCACCACCAGTCGCGCGCGGGCTGATTATACCGCGAGGACGCCCACCCCTACGCGGAGTCGAACCGGTGACCTTATGGTTGCAAAGCAAACGTGCAGACCACTAGGCCACCAGCCGACAGGCGTGAACTAAAGCTAGACCTACGTGCTGACAAGGAAGCCTGGTGGACCAGTAAGGCTCAAGAAATGGAGGAGGCAGGAACAGTAGGCAATTACCGCAAGATTTTCCACCTAATCCGCACCACTGGTCCCAGAAAACCAGGCGTCAGTGAGACAATCAGAGACAGCGCGGGTGCGCTGATACACAATTAGGAGCGCCGTATGGTTCGTTGGGCGGAACACTTTCAAGATCAGTTCAGCTGGCCCCCTGCTCCCGGACCTCTTCCTACTCAGGTGATGCAGGACAGGTCATGGACGGTTAGTTTAGGGGCTCCGTCGGAGGCTGCGGTCCGAAATGCGATCACAGCCCTTAACGATTTTCGTGCCGCTGGCCCGGATTCTCTCCAACCTGCACTATTTAAGGATGGAGGTGAGGTCCTCTGCAAAGCACTGACCTCCTTATTCGAGTGTATCTGGAAGGAAGTGTCCCGGCTAACTGGAGCGAATCGATTATAATGGCAATATGCAAGAAGGGCAGTCGCACAGACTGTTCTAACCACAAGGGTATTAGCCCAACACCAGTTGTGACAAAATTACTGGCCTCGATTCTCGTTCGTCGCCTCATTGCGGAACTTGAATCTCGGATTAGGGAAGAGCAGGCAGGTTTCCGCCCAGGACGTGGCTGTATAGACCATATATTCACTTTGCGGCAGGTGCTAAAGGAGCGCCACGTATACCGCAGACCGACAATAACTGTGTTCCTCGATTTCTAGAGTTCGTTCGATTCAGTCGATCGATCTATTCTGTTCGAAATACTGGGCGGAAAGGTGTTCCCACGAAATATGTGAACATCCTTCGTGCTCTATACTCGAACACTACAGGCCGCGTCAGGGTCTACGGTGGTCTATCGGATAGCTCTTTGACCACAAGTGGCGTTCGTCAGGGTTGTCCGATTTTCCCATTTTTGTTCAATTTCGTCGTGGATTCTATCATGAAGTGTTCCCTTGCGGGATCTCACGATGTAGGCGTTGAAGTGCTGCCTGGTGAAAGGTTAGTTGATCTAGATTATGCGGACGATATAGTCTTGTTTTTCAACAATGTTGGGGTGGCCCAATTAACTTTGAATAGCCTGTCCAGAGTGGTCCCATTATTTGGTATGCACTTCGCACCTTCAAAGTGTACAGTGTTTTTGCAGGACCACCAGCCACTTGATGACTCCTTGACGCTTGCTAACGAGGAATTCGAGGTGGTTGATCATTTCACTTATCTTGGCAACAGCATCAGCAATGATGGGCGCATAGAAACTGACGTCAGCTCACGCATTGCAAAAGCCAGAACTGTCTTCTTGAACCTGCGGCATCTTTGGCGACAGAAGGGAGTTTCCCTCCGTTTGAAAGGTCGTGTATACAAGGCCACAGTGAGGGCCGTTCTGCTCTATGGTAGTGGGACGGCCTCTTCGATTTGAAGATCTGAGGCGCCTTCAAGTCTTTGATCATCGTTGTCTGCGAAGCATTACTGGAGTCGGATGGCACCAGCGTGTCCGCAACGATGATGTGCGTAGACGAGAACTAGGCGGTGATAATCATGCTAGCTCCCTAGAACAACAGATAGCACTGAATAAGTTGCGTTGGCTCGGGCACGTGCTACGTATGCCTGGTCACCGCTTACCTAGGAGAGCCTTGTTTAGTCTGCCAGGTGTAGGGTGGCGCAAGGCTCGAGGTGGACAGAAGTTGACTTGGCAGCGGGAAATGAAGTCACTGACGACGAAACTGGGTGCCGTTGGTCCGTCTCGTCTTCCGGGCTAGAGTTCACTTGACTCGCCTTGTGCTTGGCTCGAGACTTTACAGGACATGGCTCGCAACCGACACCAGTGGCGCGTCTGCTGCCGTCTCCTAATCAGATTGCCTGTTTAAAGTGTGTTGCTGTGTTATCTGCGGAGTAATGGCTGATTATGACGCGTGGCAGTGAAAGCCGCAAGGAAGCTGTCTCGCTGATGCCGCCTTATCTTTGCACGATAGCCAGCTGTTTGTGACGGTATATTCTCTACACAAGGTGTAGTCACCTTGACCCTGAATGTTGGCTTATGGATTAGGGTTCTCATGTAAGTCCCTCTTCTCTCTTATTATTCTTTTATTTCATAGGTCATCATGGTTGTATGACAGCGAAGCATCAGTTCAAATGGTAGATATACTGCTGTTGATGATAGTGATGATTGTGAAAATTGGCACTTCCAGGTTTTCGCTCACATATCTACTGTCCCATGGAAAAACGCTGGCATGTTCTAGCTTAGCTACTTTAGTAAGGAAGTGCTACGTCTGATTCGATCCACAGGCATTTTTCCACCTCTCCCTCTCCGGACATACGGTAAGTCTTGCATAGTTTATTCACCAAAATTGAACCGACTGTTGTCTTCGAGGAGGAATTCGCTGCTCGAAATCAGCTGTCTTGTGAGACGGTGAATGCGCCTGCACATTTTCAAAGATCTCATTAAAAACTCCCTAAGTCTTTCTCTGCTTTTCTCGAGAAATGTATGTGTGGGCGTTTCTGTATGGGACTACGCAACAAGCCTCTTCGAAATGAACCGGTACGCGGGCTGTCTTACGGTTTAAAGGATCTACTGAAGGATGCTCGAACACAGGAATCCATGGATCAACTGAACAACGCCAACAGCGCTACCGAAGTCGGCGAATGTCACGCTGTGTCCGGCCCCTGTGAAGAACATCCCGTCTGCACCGAAGCCATTGAATCCTTGCTGGTACTGTAATGGGTTTGGAAAACGGGCACAACATTGCGGACATAATCCGCCAATCAGGTGGTGGCAACCCCTATGTACGTCTGGCCAACTAATGTCTGATTTTGCTTGTAATGCGGTAATTAGTTCCTTGACTACAGTAGGATAGCTTAACGGTTTCACTTTTCGTTTTTTTGATCGACACTAGGACATCATGTTCCCTTCTGCGATTACAGGTAGCCAGTCTTCTCGGGGATTTTCGAGCGTTCTGGAAACAGCGACAACGCGTGCTTACGGCTAATAAGGTCTAGTTGCCAGTATTGTCCTCTCTAGCCGTCCGAGTTCGCCTCGGAAGAAGTTTCCACCACCCGAATTCTT